TTAGTGATTTGCATTATTTGGGCCTACTAGCAGTTAATGGAGACTAGGAAAGATTATTATCATTATTATTATTATTTTTAATTTTTTTAAGGCAACTGGGGTTAAGTGACTTGCCCAGGGTCACACAGCTAGTAAGTGTCAAGTGTTTGGTCTGAGGCCAGATTTGAACTCAGGTCCTCCTGACTTCAGGGCCAGTGCTCTATCCACTGTGCCACCTAGCTGCCCCCCAAGATTATTTTTTTTTCTTTTTAAAGTGAACGGTCACAAAATAAGGAAATTTGAATAATTTAGATATATATGACTTTAAGATTATTTTGGTTAAATTTAAAATAAAAAAGAAAAAGGGTTTTAAAGATATCCCATCCTATTACAGATGGGAAATTGGAGAACCATTGGTGTAGAAGACCCATTTGGTACTTTGGAAAGTCTGATGGATTTGAAAGTCAGAGGACTTGATTTCAAATCCTAACTCTTCTATCTACTTCGTAGCTGTATGACCCTGGACAAGTCACTTCCCTGTTCTTGGCTTCCATTTCTTTTTCTATGAAGTGAGAGGGTTGGAAGGGAGGAAGGAAACAAGCATTTGTTAAGTGCCTACTATATGCCAGGCACTATGCTAATTTTTTTAAAGCAACTATTACCTCATTTGATCCTGTTATCCCTATTTTTAAAATTTTAATTTATTTATTTTTGGAGAAAATCAGGGTTAAGTGACTTGCCAAGGATCACATAGTTAGTGTCTGAGGTGGGATTTGAATTTAGGTCCTCCTGACTCCAGGGCCAGTGCTCTATCCACTGCGCCACTTAGCTGCCCTCTCTTATCCCTATTTTATAGTTGAGGAAACAGAGGCAATCAGAAGTTACATGACTTGCTTTCCATAACACAGCTAGTATGCACCTGAAGCAGGATTTGAACTCAGGTCTTCCTGATTCCAGGCCTATATCTATTTCCACACCTAGCATCAAGGACTAGGTAATCAGTTTCTAAGCTCCCTTCTAGCTCTTATTCCATAATCCTATGCCTTCATGTCAAACTGGGCACAGACAGATTTTATTGAAATGGTCAGAATTGTTTTCCTTTGAATTTAGAAAGGATTTTCTCATTTGTATGTGAATGCCAGTTATGTCAAGAAAGAAGTATTTTTCAAACATTCCCCCTGTACTCTGTGCTGTGGGCATGTCAGAGCAGAATAGAAGTATAAGACAACAGTCCCTGTCCTTGCAATTGAATGGGGGAGAAAAGAAAGATCCATGTGACCCAGGTCAAGAATAAGTTAGCAGTGAATGTCCTACTGCACCTGTTTGATTCTGCCCTGTCCTTTCCAGCAGCCTCTGTTCATTTCCATTACCCAGGGTCAAGTGCAGGCAATTAGAGAACAAGACATTGTAGAAGAAGGCGTGTTAATCATGTTCTTTATAGTAAGTTCAAAATGTTCTAGGAAGGGAGGGAGAACTGAGAGTCTGAGTCATCCGGAAAAGCTTCCTGGAGGTAGGGCTGAAGTTGTCTTATATTTGAGGAAGGACATTGACAACCTGGGCCATTTCCAGGAGAAGCTGAGCAGGATGGTCAAGGGACTGGTGACCAGGCCATCTAAAGGTCTTTTGGCCAAACTGAGTAGTGTTTGGCCTGGAAAAGGGAAGATTGAGTGGGGGTGAGGAGGGGGAGGGAAAAAGGAACAAAATTCACATGGAAGAGGAATTAGATGTATTTGGCCTGGCCCGCCCTACTCAAGACATTCTGGTATTTTTCTGCCTTTCCTTACATATTATCCATTCTATCACTGGGTGCAAGGACCAACTGTGTAACAATAAGAGCTTCCCCAAAGTGGCATGGGCTTCTTCAGAACATAGTAGGTCCTCTCTCGCTGGAGGTCATCAAATAGACTGGATTTCCACACGCCGGGGGCATTGTAAAAGGGATTCTTGAGTAAAGATGGCTTGCGCTACGTGTCTTCTGAGGTCCTTTTCAACAGTGAGATTCTGTGACTCAGTATCCCTTATATGTACGCTAAACATATATAGTGAGGGCAGGGCCAAACCAATTAAAATTTGCTCAGAAGTACAGTGTGGTGGCTGGAACAACAAAATAAAATCTCTCCTTTTGATAGACTCAGGGCCCCCCAGAGAGAATTCAAACAATTTAATGTTCAGCCAGGTGAAAATTTACTTGGTTGAGAATCAAAGGTTAACACAACTAAATGCTGAATTGTTACCATATTTTGGGGGTTCAGCCTTACCAAGGAAATACATACAAAGGAATCCTGAGCAACTGCGGTGGTCCTATTGGAGGTGGTCTGGAACATATCAGCTTCCAAGTAATTGTAGGAGGACTGTACCTTAAAACGCATGTTCGAAGCTGTTCCTTGTTGTTCCCTTGGTGTTGTCTTTAATGTGCTACCCACGAACGTGTCGTGGTCAGATCAACAGTAATTGCCTATATACTGTATCACCATCTGTCCCCTGGTTTTCAAATCTACTTACCTAATTGAATTAGAATGTTATCCTGTTGTACAGCATCCGTTTTAAGTGACGGCCATTGGAGTGTAACTGAGGCCTTTTTGGTTAATAATCATCTCCTTCTGTTCTCGTTGCTGGTCTTTTACCAAAGCATTTAGAAAAGGTAACTTCATCATCAGATGGCTCTTTGAGGCTGACTTGGATATAAGTAAATTTCAGTGATGGCCCTGTTGTCTTTCTTCATGGGTTGAGCTCAGTAGGTAGCCCTAGAGTTTGAATGACCATCCTATTTCTAGGGAGTTGGAAGGGGTGATTCAGTCCATCCTCCTGCCTCCATATAGTTTGGCACCTGAAGAATCACAGACAATTCTGTTCAAATCCAGGCTTGTGGAGCTACAGCTCCTTGTAGACTTTGGAGTGGACCAAGCTAATATTCCTGGCTAAGCTGTTGCCTCCCAGTGCCTCCTAGCCAGGCTCTGATAGATCCCTCCAATCTAGTGTGGCATGCTCCAGCAATTCCCCTTAATTCCCCTTAGGCTAAAAGAAAGGCTGTATGTCAGTGGGTGTAGAGATTAGTATGGGTCAGCGATATGGATCACATGTATTTTGACAGTGAGAAATATAGGACTTATAGATCTCCCCCTGTGCTTCTGGCTACCTCTAAAAATATTCATCCACTCATCAGATAGCTATAACATACGAGTGTTATGTAAATGCACCAGAGAGGCACAAAATGAGAGAGAAGTCTGTTACTAACCTGACAGGGACCAGCACAGGCTTCACGGAGAAGGTGGCATTTGAGTTGGGCTTTAAAAGACATCTCACAATTTCATGACCAGATTGGGAAAGGAAAAGATTATAGACATATGAAGTGACTTTGGCCAAAGGCACAGAGGTGAGAAAGTACAGGGCATGTTAGGTAGATAACAAGTAGTCCAGGTTGACTGGGAGGGTCAAGTGCATAGAGGAGAGTGACATACGTTGAGAATTTCCCTGGGCTTAGCCTCGTCATCATGAATGATACCATGAATATCATGAATGATCTTAACATCTGAGTGGAGATGTGCTGGGACCATTAGGGGGTGTGCGTGTGGAGCTTCAGAAGAGAAGTCAGACTTGGCTGGGGATATGGATTTGCATAGAAGTGACTGTTGAAGCTGTGGGTGAGGCGAGACATGAGATCGCCAAGATAGTAGACACAGTGTGGCCCAAAAGTCTTAGTACAATTTTTTTTTTGTACATTTAGTACTTAAAAGTGCACTAAGACTTTTGGGACATCCTGTATAAAGAACAACTGTGGACCAAGGATACAACCTTGGAGAGTACCATCAAGGGTTGGGGAAGCAGATGAGGGACCAACAAAGAAGGTAGAAAACTGCATTGCCTGGGGGCAGCTAGGTGGCACAGTGGCTAGAGCACCAGCCCTGGAATCAAGAAGACCTGAGTTTAAATCCGGCTTCAGACACCTGACACGAACTAGCTGTGTGACCCTGGGCTAGTCGCTTAACCCCATTGCCTAGACAAAAACAAAACCAATAAAAAGAAAAGAAAACTACAGGGCCTGAGATGACTCTTACCATCCCACGGGTTGTCTAAATATGGAGGATGAGACAGTGGTGGACTGAATGGACCACTGGTGCTTTTGGGGAACATAGCATCAGCACAAAGTCTAGACAAGCTTCTGCTTCATGTATATATATATATATATATATCTTCTAGGTTTCTCTGTATCCGTCATGTTCATTGTTTCTTATGATGCAGTCTATTCCATTCATCATTACATGCTATAATTTGTTCACTCATTCACTCCCTGGTGGACACCTATTTTGTTTCCAGTTCCTTGCTGTCATCAAAAGGGCTACTGTAAATAATTTGCGTGTGAATTCTCTTCCTCTTTCTTTGATCTCGGGATGGGCCTAGTAGTGATGTTGCAGGGTCAAAGGGTGACTTTTGGGGCCTCATTCAAAATTACTTTTCACACTGACTGGCTGGACCAAGTCACGACTCCATCCACAAACATTCATTTTCTTATTCAAGCCTTTTTCATCATCTTCTTTGTATATTGAAATGTTTGTGTTTGTTAACGATTAAGTTCACACTAATAAGGAGCATTTATCCAATTTAACTGGATTACAGAACTGTGGCTAAAAATTTTTGTGCTTGGGGCAAAAGGTATAAATGGGGTGGGGGAAGAAGAAGCATGTACCAGGACATCCTGAGGTTTCTATACTACTGAAGGACTAGGCACTGTTGGAGGTGGATAAAGGTGGGAGAGGGAGGGTGTTATGGGTACCCTATAAAAGTCATTGCTCTGGGACAACACCCCAATTGCCCCCACCCTAGTTAAAGCTCTGTATCCATGTGCCTATGTACCTCTTTATGTGAATCCTGATAGATTTGGTCTAAGTTGTGAACTTTAATGTGTTTTTGAGACAAAAGGACTCTGTAAAATGTGACTTCATGACATTTTTGGCCTTTAGTGTTATGGATTTAACAAAGCTTCCTTTTGGCTAATAATGTTTTTCTTCCTTCTTTTCTTGCAGTATACAATTTGGAACTTTCTTCCAAAGAATCTTTTTGAACAGTTTCGAAGAATTGCCAATTTTTATTTCCTGATCATTTTCCTAGTCCAGGTAAGGCCCAGATAAGTAGAAATTCCATTTTAAAGGTATGGCTAATCCAAGCAATTTATTATTCTTTCTGTTACTGGTAATTAAAAGCTTTTATTGAGTTTCATTAAAAATGAAGCTTAGCTGATTGCCTCACAAAAAAAAATGAAGCTTGGTAAAAGAGGGTTTTGGACTTGTTGATATGCATAATCTTTGTAGAGGAAGTAGACATTTGTGGTCATTTATATATTTCTCTCATATAAGATCATAGTCTTAGAGATCATTAAGTCCAAACTCATTATTTTACAGATGAGGAAGCTGAGGCATAGAAAGGTTAAGTGATTTTCCAGGGTCACATAGCTAGTAAGTGTCTGAGGTCTAGTTTCTGACTCCAGCCCCAGTGCTCTATCCACTGCACCAGCTAACTGCCTCACACATACATATTCATGCCATCTTATATCTTATATCTTAGTAGTTTTTAAAAAAGGCTTAACAAAGGGTAGAATTTCACATCTGTGTCCATTAGGGAATCGACATTGGTTTACATAGTTATTTTCACCTTTCTTTACCCCCATCCAATGCTATAGTTTGGCCTGCTGTCCTCAGTTACAGATATTGAGGTCTTCATCAATTATTAAAGTCAGTGGTTAGATGTCATATGTCATCTTAGAAAGTGCCTGGTCTGCTTCAGAATAAATCCTCCTGGATTTGGAAGCTAGTCTACACAAGAACCGTATGTTTGAAATTTTTTTTCCATACACTAACACCCCTAATATGACCATTGCGGCCAGTGGGATGCTGGGCACGTATATCCATCCATGTTTATGTACCTCTTGAGGGTTCTCTGATCAATCTTGGGTTGTTAAACTCTAAAACAGTGAACATTATTAGAGCTCTCTTAACCCAGTCATGGCCCCTAAAGGCCATATTAAAACTTCTTTCCTTGTATCCAACCAAAGGCATTTTGTTTCAAAGGAACTCTGAAAATCCTGTCCACTGTAGTGAGCCCTCTTTATTTGCTGGAATCATGGCCTCTTTAGATCCCATCAGGGGATATGCATTCACTTCAGGTAAGTGGGTTGATGCTCATCTTTCAATGTCTCTGGACTTTCTTGGAAGGTTAAGGGCACAGGCTTCATCAGTGAGCATCTAAGGTAATACATGCTCAGGGAGCAGCCAGTGACACTGTCTCCCACCCTCAAGTTGTGGGGTAACTGCAGGGAAATGTATAGCTTTGTGAGTTTCATCATATGGGAGAAGTAAAAGGCCACAAGCACAGAGGATCATAGAAAATCAGAGGAAGGGAAAATCCTACCTACTGAAAGTATTTTATTTGTTTGTTTTCCTAGTTGGTTCAGGGGTGGGTTTTTTGTGTGTTTGTTTGTGTGTGTGTGCGCGCGCGCATGTGCAGAGTGGATATCAAACCAGCCTCAGCGACAGGAAGACTTGGGTTCAGATCTCACCTCTGATGCTGCCTGTGACCCTGGGCAACTCACTTGGCTTCTCGATGTTCTAGGCAACTCTCAGACCAGCAGTTACAGAGAAGATGTCAACCTGCATTGGTGGAGGGAGCTTCCCTTATCTGGGAGTTCTCTACATTAGTGTAATCATGGGTCTAGGCCAATATCTTTATGTCTACACGTACCTTTTCTTTTTCTTCATCTGCTTCTAATTTTTTCTTTTTATCTCCAGCCCAGTGTACCTGGCATATAGTAGGAGCTTAATAAATAAATGCTCATTGAATTGGACAAGTGCTGTGGCACGGGGGTAGAGAGTTAGCAGTGGTTAAATATAAAATATTGCCATCAGGAAGGCCAAAATGTCATTTGGGGAATTTTAACATTTAAGGAGACCTTCAAATGGTTCTTTAGGCATTTAACACCCTCGATAGTTGTTAGCAGAGTGAAACATACTGACTCTAGTTTCCTGGCGATTTTGGAGAAAAGCCAAGCAAAACCACCTGTACACGCATGCTTACACACATACGCACACATTTTAAAAATGTGAAATACTTGTTAGCATTTCTGAGACAGAAGGGAAGTGGGATGCCCTGCACAGGGAGTCCATTTATGCCTGAACCATTGCCTGGGGAATTGTCAGCTCGACCTTCAGGCTACATTCCCAAGCGTCCCGGAACTGGGGGAGAAGTCTGTGAATTTGGCCTGGTTGTCCCAAACACCAAGAGTTCCTTGCTTTGGAGGGTTCCTAATGGCCCTGTGCTTTTGATTGGACAGATGGAGCAAGGGGCAGGGGATTCTGGGAGGGGAGCATAGTAGAGGTTTGAACTTCAGGGTCAAGATTGGGAAGGGAGGAAAGTGAAGCTAGAGCAATGACAGAGATAAAGTAGTGCCTGCCCTCAGGCAACTTCCAGCTGAGTTTTTGAGGTGGGGGTGGGGTGGAATGCACCTGAATGGTGCCATGGGAAGACTGTTAAGTTCAGAACCAGAGAAGCTACCTCTTGCTACTTGTGTGATTCTTGAGCAAGTCATTTCTGGGTTACATTCCTCAGGTGTAAAATATTGGGGGATGAGGTTTCTGGAGTAGATGAGCTCTAAAATCCTTGACATTCTGCAATCTTGTGACTCATATGTCAAGGAATGGTAATTTTGTCAGTGTGGATCCTCCCTTCACCACTACAACTCCTCTTTACCTTGTTGGATTATCTTTCAGGGGCAATGTGATCCTTCCCCTCCACCCCTCCCCCCCCCAAAAAAGTATCTTCTGTTGGCTAAATTGCCTTTTATTATGGGCCTGGCTTTCAATCTAGGATTCTATAAATTGTTCTACGTGACAGTTGTAAGGTCCAGATTGCAAGTTGAGAGGGACCTCAGATGCCATATAGTCTGACCTCCTCATTTGACAAATGAGGAAACTGAGGCCTAGAGAACTTAAGCGACTTGTCCAAGGTCACACATATGGAAGTGTGTCAGAAGTGACATTTGAACCTGTATCCTCTGACTCTGGAGCCTCTGTTCTTTTCCTCGTACGTCTTTGCCCCAAAGGGCAGAAGTGGGAGCGTAGGATTGCTAAGAAGTAGATCTAAGCTTATCGTCAGGAGCTTCCTTCCAACCAGAGCTATCCACAAGTTGAATGGCCTGACTGCCTTGGGAGGGCAGGGGTTCTCAGAGCCTTCAGTGCTGGTTTCCCCTGGGTGGCTGGTTCATCATGTATTGGAGTCATTGCAGGGAGAGTCCTTGTTCAGACATGATTTGGACTAGAGTCCCTTCCAACTCTGGGTTTCTCTGATTCCTAAGATCCTCAGTCTACAGCTGGAAGAAGCCTCAGAGACAGCGAGTCCAACCTCACTGTACAGAGAAGGCAACTGAGGCTTAGGGAGATTCTGAAGTCACACAGCTAACATGTGGCCTAGTTGAAATTTGAACCCAGGTCTTCCTGGGTCTAAGTCCAATACTTTTAAGTCCAATACTTTATCCACCATCCCAGATTCTGTGAAAGAAATTGGGGTCTTTTTTTATACCTTGTCCCCAAAGAGAAGTGGGAGGGCTTCCTGGCAAAGGCAAAATGAACTCATTGGAGTCCAGTTACACTAGGAAACACAGTTATTCTCTGTAGCCTTTTATCCATTCCTGAGGTTCCACATAGTTAAGGCTCTGCCATCTCCCAGTGATTTCCTAAGCATGAATAATCTTCAGGAGGATGGGAAGCAGGTTCCATTATCCTTGTGAGGCAGCTCAGTATCCTACTCACAGCCTCCTGATGCATGAGGAGCAGCCTACTATAATCGTAAGGCCTCATGACTGTGCTTGAGTCAAGATCGCTAGTGGGCCGCTCGATTTGGCTCTGCTAGAGCTGCTGGCTTTGGTTTGAATGAAAATCGATCTCCATCCTGGTACCTGAAAATTAACTGGGCTTGGTCTACGTGTTTCTGACCGGAACATAAGCTGTGGTAGCCACACATATAAATTAGGACTATGGGATCATAGGTTCAGAGTGGGAAGGGACCTCAGAAGCTATTTAATCCAATCCCCTCTCATTTTACAGAAGTGGAAACTGAGGCCTAGGGAGGGAAAGTGGTGTGTTATATCCCCCAATTAGCATGTGAAATCCTTTAGAACAGGGACTGTGTTTTTTCCTTTCTTTGTGTACTCAACACATAGCACAGAGTTTGGCCCCTAGTAGGTGCTTAATAAAGGCTTCTTGGCTGACTACAGTTGACCTACCCAAGATCACACTGATAGTGGGAGAGCCATGATTCGAATCTTGGACTTTTGACTATCAATCCAGTACTCGTTTCTATTTATTATGCTTTGTTTCTGTTTTATTCAAAATTGGATTTCTCTCTGTGCTTAGGTCACGGTAGATACACCAACCAGCCCAGTGACCAGTGGACTCCCGCTTTTCTTCGTGATAACTGTCACTGCCATTAAACAGGTAACCCAACACTTCTTCATATACAACATGTGGTGCACCTCACGTACCTCCTCAGCCTTTTTCCTTAGGGAGGGGAGGCCTTGCACGTTAGCTTCCATGTAGCTGACTTGTCTCCCAATCACGGCCCAGATGATCGCAGCCTTTCTTCCCTCGTGAGCTGAACATATGCCCACTGGGTAGAGCTCTCTACTTCTCTTCTGCCATTTCCAGTATGACCCTATTGAATATCGGACCACAGCTCCAGAATGGTCTTGCAATGGAGGCTAATTATCTTCCTTCTCGTTCCTACTTTCCTTTAATTTTTGTTTCATCTGAACCTGTGATTGCTTCAGGCTGGGAAACTCCCAGTGTGAAAACTCCCTTCACCGATGCAATTTGACCACCCTGGCACTTCATCTGTAAACTTAGAACATTAGAAATGTTAAGGATCTTTTTCAGGGTCACATGGACAAGGATGTATTAGATTTAAGACTTGAACTTGGGTCTTCCTGACTCCAAATCCGGCCCTATATTCCCTATCCCACCTTGACTCCTTACTTCCAAATGAAGAACAACTATTCTATTATATCCCTTTCTGTCATGTTTAGCTGGGAATGAAGATTAGATGAACATGTGTATTTCTGCACGTAGGCCTAGAGAGGCAGTGTGGCATATTGTATAGTATCCTGAACTTAGGAGACTGGAGAGGCCTAGGTTCAAATCCTACCTCAGATACTTAGTAGTCATGTAACCCTGCACAAGTCACTTCTCACCATCCTTGGTTTCCTCATCTATAAAATGGGGATAATCATGCCAGTGGTACTTGTCTACAGTAGAGGTGTAGTGAAGCAGAACCAAAGACCAATCTAGGGATCCTAAAGACCGGAGTTCAAGTCAAGTGGTTGTGTGACCTTGACCAAGTCACTAATCTCTCAGTACCTCAGGCAACTCTCCAAGACTTCAAATTTTAGGTGACATGCCTTGCCTGTGTTGGTGGTAGGTAGCAGTTTCCATACTGGGAATTAATTAGCCATTATGGAAATGAAACAGACAAAATCACAGGTTTAGACAAAAAAGCCAAACGTGTTAAAAAAAAAATAAAGCATTCACTTCCAGGGCTGTTGTGAGACTTTATGTCATAATGGACACACAACACATTATTATGTATACATGTCAGTTATTACTCAGAATATTCCATGAGATTTGCTATGTTCCCAATGTAGACATTCTTTCCAATAATACACATTGCCATCAGTCCGTGGTAACTTATCCTGAACGACTCCCATCTGTGTCCTCCCCAAGTTTTCCCCTGGGGGCCAGCCACTGTCAGCTGTTATTAATATCCTTCATTGAGGACTGTCCATAGTCGGTGGCCTTGATATCTGGCCTTTGAGTTCTCCTCTCAGGGAGGGGGAGCTCCATTGCTTCTGGTAGTGACTTTTGCAAACTGCATGTTGACTTGGGGGGATTGGGAGAACGAGTGGACTTGAAATCTTTCAAATATACCTTGACAGTTCTGGGTACTCAGCTTATTAAAAAATATACTGTTTGACAGTGATTTATCTAGACACTTTAAAAAGGGACCCAAAGAAGGCAGCTATTCTGAGCTTTGTTAAGCAACAGGGGGCAACTCAGATCCCTCTCTTTCCTCTTGGGGTTCCCTGCCCTCCTCTTGCCTATCAGGTACAGCAGAAATATTTTGTGAAACCCTTGGCTGCTAAATAAAGACCTTAAGAATGGTTTCCCCTCAGCCCTGTCCTGTCCACCCCTTCCTCCCCTGCCCCCCAGGGCTGCAAAGATGATTTGCTTTTTTTTTTAATTTAATGACAGTTTATTTATCAAAGATTATTTTCTTAAACATCACTGAATTGCTGTTTCCAAGAATAGCCATGTATAGTTTTCAAAAACTGTCCCCAATTTATCTTCTCTCAATTAACATTCATCCCCTGGTTACTTCATGGGCATCTCTAGAAGTACGCTCTGGAGCCATCATCTGGAATTGCCGAAAGGAAGATGAAGAGATTAAATGTAGCCCCACAGGAAAGAGAAAGGGGTTGGGAGGGAGAGAAAGAAATGATTAGGAAATTTTTCTTTTTAAGAAGTGTTATTGGATGTCTTTTTTAAAAATCATATTCACTTCCAGATCTATTCTTTCTCCCCAACTCCTCCTTCCCTCTCACTCTTTTATAACAAAGAAAATCAGTTAAGAAATAAAAACAACCCCAATACAGTGACTACATAGGTAATGTAGTGACCATGTATGTAACATGCTGCCTCTCTGTCCAGAGCATGGAGGTATGTGTCATTATCTGGGCTCCTGGACTATGAAGGGTTTCTCAGATACATAGAGTTCACCTTCCTCATTCTGTTTTTCAAGCGGTTGTCTTTGAAAGGGAGCAGGGATCATTGCGGTAAAAAGCTACAATCTGCCAAATGAGACGAGATCCTGCCTTAGTGGCCCCAGGTAGCTGATGCAGCTGTGAACATCTTCCTTCCTTTGATCAATCTCAGATAAAAGGCAAGAAGTGAAAGGAAACACTCTCCTGGTTGCACTTAGTTTGTGAAAATGAATGAAGGCACTTTTCTTAACCTGATCCTCAGTTTCCTTATCTGTAAAGTGAGAGGTTGAACAAGATGCTTGCTGAGGTCCCTTCTAGCTGTAGCTTTAACATCTTATGATCAGCTGGCCTCTAAGGTGTCCTTCAGCTCTAAATCTGTAGTCTTATGATTAGAGGATCTGTCCTGGGGATAAAAAGGACCCAAAACGCATTGAAGCCCAAGCCTGTTCTGATAAAAGGACTACAAGACTTGGAGTGAGGGGGGCCTGGATCTCACCTCCCCCCATTTTGCCATTGACTAGAGTCCGGATGACTCACCTTCTTGAGGTCAAAACTGGCCTCAGATCCCTGCTAGCTGTGTGACCCTGGGCAAGTCACTTCACTCTGTTTGCCTCAGTTTCCTCACCTATAAAATGAGCTGGAGAAGGAAATGGCAAGCCATTCCAGGATCTTTGCCAAGAAAACTCCAGATGGGGTCATGAAGAGTCAGACACGATTGAACAATGACTAAACCCTCCTTGTTTACTTACCCCCTCTGTAAAATGGGAATAATAACATTTGTGTCACAAATGGCACTGAATTATTGTTTATCTCAAATAAAGTAATGTTTCTAAAGTGTCTTCTTAGTCTGAATCGGTAGGTCAAGGTTTTATGATTTTAACCTCTGGTTTGGGAACTCATGCCACCAATTCAGATGGTCCCTCCTCTTTAACTTAGCAGATAACTCAGAGTGTTGCAAAAAGCTTAGAGATTTCAGGTCACTTGCCCATGGTCACATAGGGAGTTAGCACCCTAGGTGGGATTTGAACTCAGGTGTTCCTGACTCCAACCCCAACAGTCTCTCCACTGTGCCCTGCTATACACATGCTCTTTTGTGTTTCACGTTTTTTTCCTCCATATGCACAGTTTCATAAATCAAGCCAGCATAGTCACTTGTAATTTTTGATAGCTACATCACATTCTACTGCACGTTTCCTTACATGCCTGAGTTTCCAATGCATTTCCACTTATCTTGGTAATACAGACCATTTAAAAACAATTAAGCCATTTCCATCAGGGCCAACCTGATTGTGCGGCTGCTTTGTATTATCTGGTGTCTTGGATCTTTGGAATGTTCCCTGGGTGACAAGATTCCCCGGGAGGGTAATGTCTAAAGTGTGACTGGAGAGCTTGATGATTCATTTTGCAAGGGACTGGTTGAATTTGCTAATGTCTTTGCTTCATTCTCTGAGACTGATTGGGGAGCTGGGTTTTTTTGCATCTAGGGATACGAAGACTGGCTCAGACACCGAGCTGACAAAGAAGTGAATAAAAGCATTGTCTATGTTATTGAAAAAGCAAAGCGAGTGAAGAAAGAGAGTGAAGCTATCAAGGTAACTTTTCCATTTTCATTCATTGATTTCCTTATTTTGAAAGAGTTATTGATGCCTTTAAAAAGAAAACACACATCACAGTCATTTATAGATATACTCTGCCCTCTCCTTCCCTTCCACCCCAGTGACCCTTCCCTTAAGATCCACACAGTTACTGCCTCTGGCAAGGAATGCTGAGATTCATACCTATAGTCGCCACAAAAGGAGGATTTATTTTACTCATCTCTGGAACCTCATGAGGTGGTCACCATAATTACATAGTGGTGATTTTTTTTTCTTTTTAGAAAGGAATATATTTGCGTGCCATGAAGGCTTAAAACTCAAATGCTAATAGAAGTCACTTCCTTTCTCCCCATCTATCAAGAGAGGAAGGAAACATGATAGGAAGAGGAAAAAAAAAGAAAAAAAAAGTATCTGAGGCCAGATTTGAACCCAGGTGTTCCTGACTCTAGTAGTGTACTGGTAAATGTTTCACACCAAGCTCTGATACACTTTTTTTAAAAAATTAATTTATTTTGATTTATGAACAATCACTTCCATATGCTTTTGAGTTTAAAATTTTTCTCCCCGTCCCTCCCCGAGACGGCGCGCAATCTGATATAGGCTATACATATACATTCCTATTAAACATATATATATATATTTTTTAGGCAATTGGTGTTAAGTAACTTGCCCAGGGTCACACAGCTAGTAAGTGTCAAGTGTTTGGTCTGAGGCCAGATTTGAACTCAGGTCCTCCTGACTTCAGGGCCAGTGCTCTATCCACTACGCCACCTAGATGCCCCCCTTAAACATATTTTCACATTAGTGATGGTGTAAGTAAGAATTAGAACCAATAGGAGGAACCAGCAGAAAGAGCAAACAAAACTCAACATAGCTAATAGTATGCTTCGATCTGCATTCAAACTCCATAGTTCTTTCTTTGGATGTAGATAGCATTTTCCATCATGAGGCCTTTGGAGATGTCTTAGATCTGATACACTTTTAAGTTTAATTTGCATTCTTAATATTTTCTCCACCATTTTCTTAAATCTGGACTGGCAACAAAACAGTCAATCAGGCCCTGAATTTGTACTATTTGCTGATTTCTAAAGTGTAAATGCTCACTCTGAAAATTTAATACTCAGCTCTCATGAACTGGCCCCAGCACATTTATAGGTACTAGTATCATTTGGGCCTGGTTTGGGGATGCTCAGAGATGTCCTAAGATGAATTACAGCTCATGGGAGATTCCTTCCCCATACTCCCAACTCTTGGTGAATTTATGATTGGTATATGAGGCCTCCAGTATTTATGGGCTAGGTTCTAGTGGACCCCTGAAATAAACCTAAAGATGAAAGCAATGCAGAGAGCCATGAGAAGGAGTTGCCTGAGAATAGGAATTTTACCCTTTGAAAAACATTTTAAAAAAGTAAATGTTTTATTGATGCCTTTTTTAATCTATTGCTGTCATATTCCAATGAATTCTCCCACCCTCTGTGATAAAGCCATTTTCTGTTAACAAAGAATTGTGTGCCTCATACTTGGAATGAAAGAAATCAACACATTGACTGTGTAGGTAACTGCACTGATAAAGGTTTAGAGTTCTGCTTTTCTTTTTTTGCATTATTGTGGCCACCATCCAAATTATTCTCCTGGTTCTGCTTACCTCACTTTGCACAAGGTCATTATAAGTCTTCCCAAATTTCTCTAAATTCTTCATTTTCAGATACTGATTTATATCTCATCCTCTTCCTACCTTCCAGAATAGACCTGACATCCCAACCTTGCATTGGCAGTCTAGAGTATAAAGTATAGTAGGGGAGTCAGAGGGTCTGGGTTCAAATGTCACTTCTGATGCTTCTTGCGTGACCTTGGGTAAGTCACTTGACCTCTCTGGGCCTCAATGAGGGAGTTGGATTAAGTGATTTCTAAGGTCCCTTGTAGCCCTAGAGCTATGATCCTGTGTGTGACCTTGGGTAAGTCATTTCAGTTCCCTGGGGCCTCAGTTTCTTTCTCTGTAAAATGAGCAGGTTGGATTAATTGGTTTCAGAGTTCCCTTCTGGGACTAGATCTAGGATCCTATGATCCCCAAAGGCACAAGCAGCAACCACCACAGACAGATTGGTGACTTTGGCCAGGTCCTTCTGCATCTTCCCTACCTCCCTCTTCCTCATCTTCTACTCTGCCAACCTTCTCATCCCCCTTAGGCTGCTGTCCATAGTGTTCAAAGCCTGAGATCCCATGATTTCATCATATGTGCCCTTGCTTCCATAGCTACCCCTTCTCTCTTCCTACCCCCCCATTCTGACTCAGTCTGGTCACTGAGGCCAATCTCAGCTAAGTATTGATTAGATGAAAGCAATTTAAGGTGAGAGCAAACCTTAACCCTTTCCGGGAGAGTAGCTACTTCCTCAGAGACAAACTTGGCAGTAGAGTCTGTCCAAATGTTCTCAAAGTGGAGTCTGGGGACCCCTTTTAGACGGTCTATGAGGTTGAAACTCTTTTAGAAATTTTAATTTCTAATAGAGTAAATATTTTTAAAATTTCTTATATGGCAAGTATGGCTAGATACAGTACATAAACAAAAGCTTTTTGGGGGTGCGCTAAATATTTAAGAGAATAAAGGAGTCTTCAGACCAAAAAGGCAGAGAACTGCTGTTTTAAGTCTAATTCCTTCATTTTATAGATAAGAATAGGGGCTTAGCTAGGTGGCGCTGTAATAGATAGAATACCAGGCCTGGTGTCAGGAAGATTCATCTTTGTGAGTTCAAATCTGACCTCAGAAACTTACTAGTTGTGTGACCCTGGGCAAGTCACTTCACCCTGTTGGCCTCAGCTTCCTCATCTGTAAAATGAGCTGAAGAAGGAAATGACAAACCACTCCAGTATCTTGTTAGACAAGACTGAACACCACCACCATAGATAGGAATGCTGAGGTCTTAATACTATCCTAGATTTTAACCTCAGAGGTTAGAGGAGGCAAGTTACTTGATAAAAGTGATAAAAGGACATGGTGGAAGCAGAACTAGAGCCCAGGTCTCCTGCCTCCCAGCTCAGTGGAGTGTTCTGCCAGATGGTTGATGAAACATGGGGAGAGCTATGTTTTTGAGCAGAGGATGGCCTACCTCTTTGATTCCACGTGATATTGCCTGCTCTCTGTACCTAGGCAGAGAAAAATCCTTGGACCTCAAGAGTTGCATGAAGTTGTACCTTCAAACAAACCCCTTTTTCACCTTTGCAAGTGTACCTATAGCACACTGGGCCTTCATCCAAACCAAATTCTCATTGGGTGAGAGAAGGCAGTTGGGCACAATGCCTGTTCAAATGATAGGAAATGTCTGTCTACCAGTAGCATGCTAGGCACAAAGTTAGACCCTTTGGAGTCAAGGAGTCAATCAGTAACATTTCCTGGGCATCTTGCTTATGAGGCTCGGGGCACGGAGTGAACAAAGGCAGGAGTGGGAGAGGACTGGCCACAAATGAGGTTCAAAGAGTAGCTAATTGGGCTTAGAAAGTAGAATGTGGTTAGACTAGAAATTCTAAGCCTTTTTGGTGTCCCGGACCATTAGACAGTCTGGTGAAACCTATGGACCTCTTCTCAGAATCATGCCTTTAAAAGTATCAAGTAAAATACATAGTATTTCAAAGGAAACCAATTATATTGGAATGTAATTCTCAAAAGATTTTTTGAAGAACAAATTCATGGGCCTCAGGTCAGGAACCCTACAGGAACTCTGTAGGTCTAAGCATGCCTTCTTCATAGCCCTGTTGCTTCTTACTGAATTTTTAGTTCACTTTATTTGTTTGTATTCAATTTAGCTTATTGATTAAAGGCTTCCTCTGTGGTAGACTCTGTGCTGGGTACTGGGCAATTAAAAGGAAACAACAGTCCCTGCCCTCAAGGAGTTTCCATTCTATTGGGGGATGCAACATGTACATAGATTGGTTCCATACAATATTGTTTGAGCTGGAAGCAAGGGCTGACATCTTGGGGGAATTAGGGAAGGCTTCCTGGCACCTGAGCTGAACCTTCGAGGAAGCCAGGGGTGCTAAGAGGAAGTGGAAAGAATAGTCACAGCCTTCTAGCAGCCTACATATTGATGATTTTGCAAGTAAATACCCCAGTTGTCACTATATCAAAAGCTGTAATGAAGGATATTGTTTTTATGTTTCCCTTTGAAATTGAACTAGAGTAGGAATAATTTGAACAGTGCTTTAAATAATCGAATATTTTTAAAAAAAATCTGATGTTGGATTTACCAGCAGCACTAAAGATGCATAATACCTTGCAAGTTGGTGATAAAGCAGCTCCAGGCTCTTTGAATGCTTTTCCATAGAAGGTTTGTGGTGGGTTTTCTTCTATCTAAGGTTCCTTCCCTTCGTTATAGGAGCTTGTGTGCTCCTAGATGAAGGAATCATTTATTGTGTTTAAAAATCAATGTTTTATTAATGTTTTTAAAAGACTGTTGTTGTTACTTTCAAGTGGCTGGACCCTATTCCCTACCATCCACCCCCAAATGCAAAATATACCCATCCATTGGCCTCGGTGTATGCCATGTGCCGCACCTGTAGTTCACCACCTCCCCCCCGAGACACTTCCCTGTCTGTCCTCTGTGGTTATGAGAATGAATTGATTCTTAGGGTGCTGGCTGACTGTATGGCAAGTGGTCCATAGATGAAATTATTTTATGTTCATGTATGATGTTCTTGGGAGTGGTGGAGGGAACGTAAGTGGAGCATAGGTACCTTCTGCTTGTGGATTGTTCTGTTTTGTCCTTGTATCCCAAAAGTCTAGCAAAGGGACTTGTACACAGCAGGTGCTTAATAAATGCCTACTGAATCAAGTAGACTTGACCATGAATTCCTCTCAGGCAGCAAAGAAAGAGCCAGTCCAGGATAATTATCACACCTCAGCCAATGTGTCTTTCCTGATTTGTCACACAGACTTTTCTGTGAACACATTTACGAGTAAAGGCATTTGGACCTACCTGGAAGATTTCATTGTCAATCATGACAGAGAAGAAATGAGAAATGTGATCCCCAAGGAATTGGTGGAGGGCTAAGGTCAGCCTGGGTAGCCTATGAGTCTCTTAAAGTGCCAGAGGATTTCTCCTCTGTCCTTATGACCTTCAGGGAGGATTCTTGTCATTCATCCAGTAAAATTTCCCCACCTTGCCATGATGCAGGACTCTGATGAGTCTCTTGGTTCCAAAAGGGAGGTCTTTGGGGCTAATCTACTGTGCACATAGAATTCTCTCTTGCTCCAGTGGGAATTCCACCTATAAAATGAATGAATGACTTGAAAGGAGCAAAGCTTATTTATCATTCTTTTCCCTTCCAGGTTGGTGATATTGTTGAGGTCCATGCGGATGAAACGTTTCCTTGTGATATTATCCTCCTGTCATCAAGCAATGATGATGGGACCTGTTATGTTACAACAGCCAGTCTTGATGGGGAATCCAACTGTAAGGTAATGTAGCAAAAGGACCCGGATTCTTCACTTTCAGCTCAGAGTAATTAATCTTTCAGAAGGAATTTGTGTTTTTCTGCTGTCTTGGTGGGGCTCATTGGAAAGTGGTTTTGGTGCAATTATCCTTGGAGGTTATTTACCCCCAGTTTCATCTGCACAAGTGTGTTCAGCTTGGGTAGTGCAAGTGGAATTCCAAAAGGCAAAAACAAAACAGTCTTTGCTCTCAAATAAATTCCTTTCTACTGGGAAGGATATCCTGTGGTCTTAGATAAATAAGGTGGAAGAGAGGGCACTGACATCTGCAAGGGGGTAGAATCGGGGAAGGCTTCCCAGAAGATCACAGATTTCAAGCTAAAATGGAGTGTAGAAGCTGAGGCCAATCTCACCATTTTATAGATGAGGAAACTGAGGCACAGAGAGTTGACGTTGCCTGACCTAGGTTACACAGCTAATAAGTGTCTGAGGTTGGGTATGAACTTAGGTGTTTTTGTTTCCAAGTCTAGTGCCCTATTCTCCATCCCACGGCTGGGTGGCCCCCAAGGTGAGCCTTGAAAGAAGACAAGGATTCTGAGAGGTTGGGGTGAGGAAAGAGCGAATCCCAGGCATGGAGGATGACCTGTGGGAACACAGGAAGCTGGGCGATGGAAGGTCAAGTTTAGGCTACAATACAGAGTTTGTAAAGGGAAGTAGTGTTAAGTGGTGTCAAACTGTGGAAGGCCTCGAAGGGTTGATTCTAGAGGCAGAAGAGAGCTATTGATGCTTTTTAGCAAGAGCATGATATAGGTAGACCTTTACCTCAAAATGATTATTTTGGCAACTGTATGGAGGTTTGATGGCAGAGGGGAGAAAGTTGAGGCAAAGAGATCAATTAAGACTCTAGTCTGTTAGTCCAAGTGAGGGGTGATAGGGCTTGAACCAAGGTGATAGCTACGTGAGTTGAGAGGAGTCAGGGAACAGGACAGGTGTACGAGGCATTTCGGAAATGTTTGTGGGATAGACTTGGCAACAGACTGACTTTGGCTGACAGGTGAGACTGGTTATAAATCTCCCAAAGTGGGGCGAGGCTGGTAAAAAAAACAAACCAAGTCTATAAAACAAACCGCACTGACATTTTTATGACCTTCCACTATTTATTAGTAACTGTTCATCTAATTGGTGAAAACTTGGTAATGAGCATATTCCAAGGCGGTAAAGTTGAGGAACAGTTTCACGGAACTGAACTTGCTGGCTTCTGTTTGGTGTTTATGTTGAATCTTTTCCAAGTGAAGAATACTCCCTTGACAGAATGGCCTCCTTCCCAGGGTGCAGGTAATATGATTTGAAGGAATTTGATCATCCCTTTTAGTCCCTTGGGGCACAATTTCATAAATTATTATTGGGAAGAATTATGAATGTGTGAAAATACATTTACTTAAACCAGTGACTAAGGCGCTCACCTGGTCGATTCTGGCAATGTCAGCTCTAACCTGTCTCCGCCAGCTGTACATGGTGTAACAACCCTTCAAAGCCATGGGGAAGAGAGGACTTTTTATGTATTGAGCCTTTGGGGAAGGAAGAGGAGACATCCTCTGGCCTCTGGCCTCTGGCCCAGGTGATGCTACCATGCCCTGGAGCCTGGGAGCTGGAGGCTTAGCTGGCAGTTAAACTGCAGATTCAGTTGAATTCAGTCAGCTTTCCTTAGATGCCTACTGTGTGCCAAGTACTTATTCTGCCATTAAAGAGATTGGCATTTAATTGTATTCGGTATCATAGGATAATAGCTGTGGTGCTAGATGGAAACTCAGAGGCAACCACTTCATTTTGCAGATAAGGGAACTGAGGTCTAGAGAGGGCAAGTGATTTAACCAAGGTCATGGGATTCTAGGATCATAATTTTGGTGCTGGATAGGACCTCTGAGGTGACCTAGTCCAACTCTCTCATTTTTCACACGAGGAAACTGAGGCCCAGAGAAGTGGCGTCACTTGCCCAAGGTCAAGGAATGAAGGAACAGGGAGGAGAAGTGGGTATGAACATTCAAACATGAAATTTCCTCTAACTTTCTCTTGATTAAAAAATGGACAGAGCTGAGCTTGGATCCTGAAATTATTTTTGAGTCTCTTTGTCGGGAATGGAAATCTTTTAAATGACTTCTTTCTGAAAGAGCTAAAAGGAAGGGGTGGGGGTGGGGATTCAATTTCTGGAGCTAGGCTGCTAAGCATGACTCAGACATTTCCTTAATATTCCACTTAGAAAATGACACCAACCTTTGTCCAAGATCCTATCTGCATTAGGCCTTGGTTGGGGTGGGGGGGCCACGGGCTGGCTTTATAAGATGTTTCAACTGGCGCCATACTTTCCATGTGAAATTAATCAAGTACATAATATACAGCAAGAGAAAGGTCCAAAGGCCTGAATAAAAGTAGGCGCATAATCCCTCTCACCTCAATCTCAAGTGTAGTGGCTCAGAAGCCTCTTAGAATTCATTAATAAAGCTATTTGGGTAATGGCACTCCTAATGCTGCTGCTTGTTGCTCCTGGCAGAATTGGAGCATTTTCAGCACCGAGAAGCGGCCGCTTAGTTTGTGTGTGTTGAGCCAAGTCAGTCCACCGTGGCGAGGGCAATAATAGAATCAAAATATAAATACATTGAATTTCCCCCCCCCCCCCCCCCCCGTGGGCTCCTCAGTTAATTACATGCATGCTGCAAACTGAAATCTCCCAGCAGGAGGTCATGAGAATGGTTTCAGGTTCTTCAATATCATTGAAACCCCAAAGCAGCAGGGGGAGCATCTAATTACCTCTGATACATTTTAAGAATAATATTGTACAACTTATTTGTGGGTAATGTGCATCAATATTTGTAGGCTTCTGCCAGAATGGCTCACTGAGCCATACTGTGTTCCTAGAATTCCATGGGTAGATATTTACTAAAAGACCCACTTTTTTCTTTCCTTCTTTCTTTCTTTCTTTTTCTTTCTTTCTTTCTTTCTTTCTTTCTTTCTTTCTTTCTTTCTTT